TGGAAATTGATGCTCTCCTTCAGAATTTTCTCCCATAGTTTCCTTACCACTGACTTGAAACTCACTGATCTGTACTTCTCTGGCTTATCTCTACAACCCTTCTTAAATTTTTTTTTCTTTATTCATTCACAGGATGAGGGTGTTGCTGGCCAGGCAGCATTTATTGCCCATTCCAAATTGCCCAGGGGGCAGTCCAGAGTCAACCGCATTGCTGTCGATCTGGAGTCAGATGCAGGCCAGACTAGGTAAGGATGGCAGTTTCCTTCCCTAAAGCACATTAGTGAACCAGACGGGTTTTTCCCAATAATCGGCAATGGATTTATGGTAATCATTAGATTCTTAATTCCTGATATTTATTGAATTCAAATTCCACAATCTGCCGTGGCGGGATTTGAACTAGGGTCCCCAGAACATTATCTGTGTCTCTGGATTAACAGTGCAGTGATAATATCACTACGCCATCACCTCGGAACAACATTAGCTGTTCTCCGCTCCTCTGGCACCTGACCCGCAGCCAGCAAGGAATTAAGAATTTTGGTCAGTGCCCCTGTAATCTCCTCACTCCCACAGCAATCTAGGACACCGTTTATCCAAACCTGGAGAACTGTCCACTTTGAAGTCTGCCAATACTTCCAATACCTGTCCTACTTTATGTCAATTTACATAAGGACCTCGCAGTCTCTCCCCTGGGTTCATTACCTTCAACCTCTTCCTCTTGGGTGAAGTTGAATGTAAGGTATTGGTTCAACACTCTACCAATGTCCTCTGGTTCCATCCACAGACTGCTCCCTTGGCCCCTACTCTTTCCCTGGTTATCATCATCCCATTGATATATTTAGAGAATATCTTGGGATTTTCCCTACTTTTACCAGCCAAAACGTTGTCATATCTCTTCTTTGCTTTCCTAATTGCTTTCTTAAGCTCCACCCTGCACTAATGTCTCCACTAATTTGCTTCCCCTTGTACCTGCTGAAAGTCTCTCTCTTCCTCCTCATCATATCTTGAATATCTCTGGTTCTCTGGGCTTGTTACTACTTTCTATTACCCTGTATGTACAATGTTAGGCTTGTACCTCCCCATTTCCTTTTTGAACATTCCCCACTGCTCTTCTGTAGATTTCTCCACTAGTAACTGTTCCAAGCCTACCCTGGCCAGATTCTGCCTTATTTCACTAAAATCCGCTCTCCCCGCAAACCAAAACTTTTGTTTTGCAACTTGCTTATTTATTTGTCCATAAGAAGCTTAAATTGTACTATTTTCTTCATGGTAAAGCAATCAACTTTCCATTTCCCCATTCCACCTGCCAGTCTTTTGCCCACTGACTCAGCCTATCAATATCAGTCTGCAACTTCCGGGAGTTCTTTTCACAACTGACTTTCGCACCTATCTTTGTGCGATCTACAAGTTTAGCTACCATGCCTTCACTCCTCTCATCTAAGTCACTGATGTATATTGTAAAAACTTGAGCCCCCCGCATACAGCCCTGTTGAACACACTCACCACATTCTTCCAATCAGAAACAAACCCATTTATGCACACTGATTTTCCACTGGCCAGCCAATCGTCTATCCATATAAGCATGTTACTCCCTATGTCATAAGCTGCTACTTTTCAGAATAACCTTTAATGTGACACCTCGTTGAATGCTTTTTTTGAAATCCTACGACAGAATGTCAACAGATCCCCTTTATCCACAGTGCATGTTGCTTCTTCAAAGAATTCCAATAAATTGGTTAAACAGGATTTCTCTTTCACAAAACTATGCTGATTCCTCCCAATTAACTTGAGTTTCTCAAAGTGCTTAGCAATTATCTCCTTAATAATCAATTTACCCTCACGACAGACATTAGGCTCACTGGCTTATAGTTTCTTGATTTCTGCTTCCATCCTGCCGGCACAAAAGGGTTATATTTGCTACTTTCCAATCTGATGAAATCTTTCTGGGACTCTCTGAACTTGAAAAATTAGCACTACATCTTCTACCTGTTCTGAAGTCGTAGCAGATTCAGTATGTTAACTATTCACTTTCCACAGATGCTGCCAGACATGCAGCATTTTCTGTTTTTGTTTTAGATTTCCAGCATCTGCAGTATCTTGTTTTTATTTGAACATTCAATACCTCATTGGCTACCTCTTTTAAGACCCCAGATGAAGTCCGTCAGGATCCAAGGATTTATCTATCCACGACTGTTTGCTCAGTACTGTTTCCCTGATGACTGCAAACTCACCAAATTCCTCTCTTCATTCTACTTCCTAATTTAAAGCTATTACTGGAATGCTTTTGTCTACAGTCATGACAGAACAAACGTATTCCTTAATTTCACCCGCCATTTCCTTATTATCTGCAATTAGCTCCACATTCTCAATCAACAAGCACTTCACTTACTTTTTAACTTTTTAAATCCTAGGAGAAACTCTTGCTATCCATTTTCCATTTATAGCTATTGCTTCTTCTCATACTGTAACTTCTTTCTTCATTCTCTGCAATTCTTGAATTGTGCACATATCTTTGCACAATGAAATGATTTTCCCACAAGTTTAATGCTTTCTTTAATGTCTAGCTAACCAGATGGTGGGTCCTCCTCTTGGAATATTTCTTTATAGTAGGAACATTCTTATTCTGAGTATTCTGAAATAGCTACTTACATGCCTAGTACTGCTTTACTATTGATCCATCTCTTTACCCAAGTCCAATACTACCTGCAGTTTGCTTGGTTCTGGAAAAGTTGCTCCAAGAAACTCTCGAAAGTATTTTACAGCTTATTCATTCATGCTAATACTGCCAATCTGATTCTTCTACTTCATACACAGATTAAAATCACCCATGATTATTGATATCCCTCTGCTACAAACATCCAATATGTCTTCTTGCATTTTTTGTCCTACTATCAGTAATCCTATAGATTACATCAACCATACATTTTCTCCCACATCGCTCATCTCTACCCAAAACAATTCAACATCCTGATTTGCTGAATCAAGGTCACCTCTAACCATTGCATCAATGCCATCTTTGATTAAGAATGCTACCTTTCCACCTTTACTCTCAACTACAACGAAGGGGTTGACTTACAGAAATTCAAGCTGTAACTCAGCAACTTCTGTTTTTGTTCCTGATTTACAGCATCCACAGTTCTTTTGGTTTTTACTTACCATATAATGTGATAATTGATCTAGAAGTAGGTGAGAATGGGTGACTGTGCTAAAAGTAGCCCATGTCATCATAGGAATAGGTTTGGGGTAGGTAATAAATGTGGAAGGATGGAATCAGGCTCTCAAGTTAGTGAGCTTGATGTTGAGTTCTAGATGCTACAGGGTGGCCAAGCAGAGAATGAGGTGATGTTTTTCGAACTTGTGCTGAGGCTCACGACAACAACGTAGCAAGCCTGTGACAGAAATGTTGGCACGGAAACATGGTGGTATGTTGAAGTAGCAGGCAACTGGAAGCTCAAGGTTATTTTTGCAGACAGAATGCAGGTGCTCTGCAAAGCAGTCACTCAGTCTGTGTTTCATTTCCCCAATATAGCTAAGACTATACTGTGAACAATGAATACATTAGATTAGACTGAATTAAGTACAGGCAAATCACTGCTTCACCTGGAAGGCATGTCTGGGACCTTGAATGATAAGGAAGGAGAGGTAAATGGTCAGGTGTCACACCTTCTACGATGATGTTGTGGGGGTGTGAGGTGGTGTTGGGAATGGAGGAGAAATAGACCAGAGTGGCTCAGATGGAATGCTGCTGGGGAGTGGGGGGATTGTGATGTGGAGAAGATGGGAGGAGGGAGATATGTGCCTGGTTGTGGCATCCTGTTGGAAGTGACAGAAATGGCAGCTTACAATGGGGAGGCTGGTGGGGTGGTAAATGAGGACCAGGAGAATGCTATCACTGCTATGGGAAGGAAGGGAAGGGGTGAGGGTAGAAGTGTGAAAAATGGGTCAAACACAGCTAAGGGCTCTGTCGATGATGGTAGTGGGGAATTCTTGGTGGAGGAAAAAAGGTGGACATTTTTGAGGCCCTCTGTAGAAGGTGACATCATCAGAACAGATGTGACAGATGGAGAAACTGGAACAACAGAATGAAGTCCTCGCTCCTCACCCCTAATTTCCTCAACTTAAGTCTTCAGCATAAATACCACATTTTCCTACCGGCTAACTGTTCTGAAGAGCCACCAGACTTGAAACTCTGTTTTCTTCCCACAGGTAATGCCAGACCTGCTGAGTTTCACTAGCAACTTCTACTTTTGTTTCAGATCTCCAGCATCTGCAATTGTTTTATTTTAGGTTGGGCCTTAATTCTTTAGAATTCAGAGGCATGAGAGGTGATCTTAAATGAAATATACAAGATTTTGAGAAGACTTTACAGGGTAAATGTTGTGATTGATGTTTTCACTAATCTAGAGACAGCAGATATTGTTAGAGGATAGCAGACATTTACCTAAAACTGGACTTGTGAAGGAATTTCTTCTGAGGCTAATGAACTTTTAGAAGCTAGATTAAAGTATTTAAAGAGGAGGTGGATTGTTGAAAAATCAAGGAATTAAGGACTATGAGGAGTTGGCATGAAAGAGGCCTGGGGCAAATCAACACGATTTTACCAAGGGGGCGGCAGCGGCAGGTTTGAGGTGACAAATGACCCACTCCTACTTCTGATATTCTTATGTTGTATTTGCCTAACTTTCCATTCTTTTTCAGTGTCATATGAATGAATATATGGATTAAATGTCAAGGACGCTAATGATGCTAGAATCATATGAGCACACCTACAGTTCTGGGATTGGAGAAGATTACAGACACAGGAAGAGATGAAACTATGAAAGAATTTGAAAATGATTAAGGTTTAAAATCAAGCTGCTGTTTAACTCGGTGTCAGTCAGCATGTAAATGGTGATGTGAGCACTTGATGGGATCAAGTGATTAGCCCCCTGGACGAAATGAGCTCAGAGTAGGCAAATAAATAAAACAACCTAAGTAAGCAGTACACCAGTTAAATCACCCACCCTTTGCGTAGTGTGTACTGGTCGTCTTTTCTTCTCTCTTGTATACAAGGCAATTTCCTCTTCGCTTTTAGCAATCCTAAAATCTTCCTGCATCCTGAATAAAAGGAACAAAAATGTGATCTGCAGTGAAAAATAAAGGAAAATTCCATAACAACTCCATCATAGTGCGAGGGTGGAAAGACAGAGTGAGAATGAGCATTAGAGCCAGAGCATGAAACAAAATACATCTTGCATTTATGCACCACATCACATAATTTACATATAATCCCAAAGTCAGTTACAACCAATGAAGAATTTCAGACTGCATTCCAGGAAATGAGGCAGACAAAAAACACTCCAATACTCCAATCTTTTGGCACTTCCTGTAAGTTTAGGGAAGACAAAGATTGTGGCCACTGCACCTGCAATTTACGCACTAACTTCAGAATCTTTATATTCATCTCTTCCAGTCCTGCTGCATTGTCAACTTTCACCAAAAGTCTATCAAAAAAATCTGCCCCATCATTTTTGTGCCTATCCAGTTCTCCACTGTCATTACGGCCTGGGTAGCATCATGGTCTTTGGTGAAGACAGGTGCAAAGTACTCATTCAACACCTCAACCATGTCTCTTGCCTCCAGGTGTGTATCACCTTTTTGGACCCGAACTGGCCGTACTCCTTTTACCACACTTTTACTGTTTATTTGGCCATAAAGACCTTGCAACACCTCTATGTTGGTTACGAGTCTTTCCTCAATTTCAGTTTCTCTTCATTTGCTCTTCATTTGCTTTTGCATCTCCTTGCTAAACCTTTGGTATTCCTTTTGGTTCCCAACGTTATTTTCTACTGGCCACTTGTCATAAGCACACTTCTTCATTATCTTAATTTCTCTCCTTTATCATAAAGGAATCTCTGGATTTTTGTTCTACTTTTCCCATTTGAAGGAATATACCTGGACATACCTGAATGATGTCCTCTTTAAAAGCAGTCCATTGTTCAGTTTATGTGACCACGAGGATCCAACATAAAATCTATCACATGCAGATAGACTCAAAACCATTCTTCAATACATTCTAACAGTCTTAAATGATGAACTCAGGTAAGTTCAGTCTTCAGGTGATGACTACACATAGCTCCAAAATTATTTTTATAATAAACACAACTAACATTCAACAGGAAATAACACACTGTAAAAACCAAAAGAACTGTAGTTGCTGTAAATCAGAAACAAAAACAGAAATTGCTGGGAAAGCTCAGGAGGTCTGGCAGCATCTGCGGAGAGAAATCAGAGTTAACGTTTCAGATCAAGTTCCTCAGAACTCAGGAATTGCTTTTCCAGCAATTTCTATTTTTGTTTCTAATAATACACTGTATCCTGGTTTATGTAGGCAGAAGAGGTGGAACAAGTCAAACTGAAGCCACAAGAAAACCTTTAAGGCAAGCCTAACTTCACTTTACTTTTTCCTGCCAAGGGAGAGAAAAACTCACTATTACACTTGACTAAGAAATGAGGAAAATCATATTTAATAACCAGTTTCAGATATTTGCTGTAACACCATACCTGTTCACACTTGGTTGTATTTCTGGTACTACAACTCTTCGCTTCCAGGCCATGATGTCACCTTCTGTGGCTATTTGGCTACGGGGAGCATTGTGATGCATCTGACGAACACCTTCAATCTGTCCACTACGGCGCAGTCCCACATTTGGTGGTGACAAAATGTCAGAGCTGGGGTTCCTTAAAACTTAAAGCAGAACAAAACATTAAAGTTGAGCAAGACAAAGAATCTTTAGCATCTTAAATTATCCAATTTTGATGGCTTACCATGTGACATACACCGTTACTCTTTCAACATCTGCACTTTTACTACTCAGTTGGTTGAAATTGCGCCAGAACATAAAGTAGAATCTGTAAATATCCACTTCAAAGTTGAATAATGCAATCTACCCTCTAGTTTCTTTTCAGTAAATACTTTTCTGAAATTGTGTAGCCTATTAGCACCTTTTCCATAAAAATCAGGATTAGAAAAATCTTTTCTGTTAATTTTTTTGAGAAATAGCAGCAGATACAGGTGGGATTTCAAGGAAAAGTGCATTGGCCTAGTTAATTTGCTAATGAAAGGCATCAGATATAATATAACAAATTCTACAAAACTCAGAAGGTCAGGTAAATCTACTTAGAAAAGAACAGTTAACATTTCAGGTCAATAATGTTTTATCAAAACTCAACACTTAGCTTGTTTTAATAACTGCACAAGCACTAAGGAGAGACAGTGTGTGCGCTAGAAAATCACTAAAGTGTTGAAACTCAGCATGTCTGGCAGAAACTGTGGATGGAGAAATTATGTTAATATTTCGCGTCTGATGTGATTCTACTTCAAAGGTCCATTTTCAGACTTCCACAACTTCATTTACACCTATTTTACATGTTTATTTCTTTCACCCTAATGAGCAGCCTGCATTTTGCACTGGGCCTCCATACCAGCTGTTGTTGTGGTACCTCCTCTGCCTCTTTCAAAAAAACCACATTCCAACCCCTTTCAGTTCTGAAGAAGTCATTTGAACTTAAACGTTAACTGTTTCTCTCTCCACACCAGCTGGTAGATCTGCAGAGCTTCTCTAGCATTCTCTTTTTGTATTTCAGAAGCCCAAGCAAAAGTTCTGGGGGCATTGATTCAAACCTCATATCGACTGCTGGTGGAATTTAAACTTGGTTAATAAATCAGAAATCAAAAGCTCCCTTCAATAATAATGACCATGACAAGTGTTATCGATTGTTATACAAACACCTTTAGAAAAGGAAAGAAAATTTGCCATCTTTATTTGGTCCAGGTTATATGTCATTCCAGACCAAAAACAATGTAGCTGACTCTCAACTTCCCTCTGAAATAGCTTAGAATTCCACTCAGTTCAATAATAAGTATGGATAGGTAACAAACTATGTCTCTGCCAGAGACATCCAAATCACATGAAAAAAAAAAGCAAAATGCCAAGGACACTAGATATCATAAACAGAAAAAGTGCTGGAAAACCTTAGCCATTCTGGCAGCATGCGGAAAGAGAAACAGGACTCATGTTCTTGGTCCAATGTTTCTTCTTCGGAACCTGAAGTAGGTTCAGCTCGTCAAGCTCTTCTGACGGAACAGTCAGCGGATTCAAAAGGTTAACCGTTTCTCTCTCAAGACCTGCTGAATTTCTCCAACTCTATTTTAATTCCATGAGAAAACACATTACACTTGGTTTTCTGGTTCCCTGCATTTGGCAGAGGTTACAGCAAAAAAAAGACACAGTTTTTTTGAAAAAAGATACAAGACCAAAACAGGAAATTAGCTATAACTAGGTCTGTAAATAGAATATTTTATTGAAATAGAAACCTATGCAAGTTGTTGTACATTGAGGAGAATGAAGTGTCAACATTCATTTAATAATACCAATTGGTGCAGGCAAGTTCAACACGTTGATTATTACATAATATTATATGAAGTCAAGTTACGCTGATTGAGGTAAATCAATGTGAGCAACTGGTGCTCAGTTCAGTCACTCTTGTACAATCAAGCAAATTATCTCTCTATGTCCATCAATGGCTCATTAGGTATATTGGAGTAGTTGGCCATTCAGTCCATCGAGTATCTATCGTTCAATACAATCACAACCAATCAACCATGTCATTGCCTTTATTCTACACTATCCCCTTATTTCTCTACATTATTGGTAGTTAGAAAATGTGTCAACCTTGACTTTAAATATACTCAAAGACGGAGTTTCCTGCTGACTGGAGAAAGCTAGAGCTTCACAACCCTCTCAGTAAAAACTCTTCGGTCTTCAGTCCAAAGTGGCTTCCCCCTTATTTTGAATTTCTCTTCCCTGACTGTCAACTCCACGACCAGGGGGACTACCTTACAAAATATTTAAAGGCATAGTAAATGCAGGTATGTTTCAATTAGATTGAGAGATCTGGAATTCAAGAGCAGAGATGTACTGTTGTGGGTGTACAAGGCTCTGGTCAGACCGCATTTGGAATATTGTGAGCAGTTATTTAAGACAGAGATAGATAGGTTCTTGATTATTAAGAGGATCAAGAGTTATGGGGAGAAGGCAGGAGAACAGCATTGAGAAACATATCTGCAATGACCGAATAGCAGAACAGACTCGATAGGCCAAACAGCCTAATTCTGCTCCCACCTCTTATGGTCTTACCTCTCAATCTTCAAACCTCAAAAAATACAGGGCCTGTTGCCCGATCTCTCCTCAAAGGGCAGACGCACTATTTTGACAACAACTATGCTGAAGCTTAGTTGCTTTAATTCTGTGGAAATAATATCCCGTCTGAGGTAAGGAGACTAAAACTGCACGCAACACTCCAGATACAGTAAAGCCCTAATTCTAAACAATTGAAGAAAATCCTACAATTCCTTATTGTCCCTAGTCCCTTAGATCTGTTTATGGATGACTTCTTGTATCATCTTCATCATAAACATCATATTTCTCTCGTCCGCAGCAACTCTCATTTGTCCTAATCAAAAGTTTCCTTTACATATACTTGAAGCTCTTACAGTCCATTTTGTTATTTTGCTAGTTTACAGTCATACTCTATTCTCCCTTCCTTTATCAGTTCCTTGGTACTCCTTTTCATATTCCAAAAGCCTCCCAATCCTTAAGTACACAACTATTTCTGGCAACTGTATTGGCTTTTTTTTTCCTTTTCATCTCATACAATCATTAACTTCCTTTGTTAGCCACAGTTGGCTAACATTTTTGGGGTTTGTGGGCTTTGAAGAAATGTAAAGTTGCTGTAAACAGAGAGAATTATTTAAAGCAACAAAAACAAAGTTGCTGGAAAAGCTCAGCAGGTCTGACAGCATCTGTGAAGGAGAAAACAGAGTTAACGTTTCGGGTCGTGACCCTTCCTCAGAACCCAAAACATTAACTCTGATTATCTCCTTCACAGATGCTGCCAGACCTGCTGAGCTTTTCCAGCAACTTTGTTTTTGTTCCTGATTTACAGCATCCGCAGTTCTTTTGGTTTTTATTTAGAATTATTTATAGGCTATCCTTTGCCTCTGTATTCTCATACCTTTGATGTATTTTGCCAATCAACCTCAGCTAATTTGAACCCATACCTTCAAAATTTTGTTTGTTCAAATTTAACATTTTAGCTTCAGAATGAATTACCCCATTTTGAAATGAATTGTAAAATTCTATCATGCTATGGTCACTCATTCCTGAAGGTTTTTTTTAACGAGAAGATTAGTCCTTTTTGGTATATAATGCTAGATCTCAAACAGTTTGTTCTGTAGTTAGTACCTCAACATATCAATCTAGAAAATCATCCCTAGCACACTCCAGAAACACACTTTACAGTGTTAGTGTTCAACAGTATGTAATGAAGTCAACCACAATTCCAGTTACTGATGCTTTTCTATCCCCTGATTAATACAATGATTCACATTACCACTACTGTTTGAAGTTATGTCTTTGTCCTACAAAGGAATTTACGAAATGGTCTAAGTAGAATACTGCATGAAGTGTCCTATCTGAATTCTGCCTCTCATTTCTTTTTAAAATCTCAATTGTGATCTGGTTTGGGACCACTGACATTCAAAATGAAACCTAACCTTTAATAGATAGAACTGTACCACATTATTTCATTTTTTTACAAAATTAACAAGCTACAAACTTGGTTTGCTTTACTCTGTATTGTTCTATATACAATAAAGTAAATATGAGTTAACACTAAAATTAATGAATTAATATTTTATGCACTCAGGTATACTTCCTACTTATTTCATTTGTTTCAGCTACAAAACTGTAGGGACCATATGTAAATATACCTTCTGGATAAATTTCCTTTGTTGCAGATAATACTACAGGTAATACTCAGAGCTAATATTTTCTATTTTCATTTATCCTCTTTATTGTGCAAGACTCAGTCCGTTGTTCTGGTTACCTTCTTTTTGCAGTAGGATACGGTGAGATCCACTGTAGATTCTTCCAATAGCTTCAAACTAGGCAAAACCTGCCTATGTTCTTCATGAGCTTCAAACTCAGGTTAAGCCTCATCCACTTTCCATGTAGTCAATGAGGTTTACAAGGCAGTGTCTGTCATTTATAATGTATAACCTCTCTCAGCAAGCTGCAAACTGCCAGATCCAAGATACACCCAAAAACCTGTCCTAACAAACACTCAGACACCAGAAAGCTTGACTAAGCTCCAACCATGTCTATGATAATATAGCCTGTTTTGGGTATCCTAAAGACTTATTTTGTGTTAATGTAAATACACTGACACTGAAATAAACCATACTGCAATAAAACTACTTAAATGGTAGGATTAGCTTTATTACTGTATTAACACAGCAAAACTAAAAGCACTGAAGCAACAATTTTAAATAAAAATTTCTTTTAGTGTGTCTCTAACCCTGATTATGTATTGTACGTTAAAACACTTATAAAATTATAACCTGTTTTAATAAATGGTAGATAAGGCATATGGGACACTTGCTTTTGTCAACTGTGGAATAGTTTTTCAGAGCACAGAGGCTATGTTACAGCTATACAAAAATTTTGGTTAGGCAACAACAGGAGTACTGTGTGCAATTCTGGTCACCACACACGACAAGAAGGGTGTGACTGTAATGCAAAGAGTGTAGAGGAGATTCACCAGGATATTGCCTGGGTTGGAGTATTTCAATTATGAAAAAGATTGGATAGGCTCAGGTTCTTTTCTTAAGAGCAGAATAGGCTGGGGGGGGGGGGTCACCTAATTGAAGTGCATAAAAATTATAAGGAGCATGGACAGAAAACACTGTTCCCTTTTGTTGAAAGATCAATAACTAGGGGACATAATTTTAAGGGCAGAAGGTTGAGAGGGGATTTAAGGAAACAGTTTTTTCACCGAGAGGAATGCACTGCCTTTGGAGAGCAGTAGAGACGGGAAACCTCAACCTTTAAAAATTATGTAGATGAGGACTTGAAATGTCATAATATTCAAGACTATGGGCCAAGTGCCAGAATGTGAGATTAATGTAGATGGTCGCAGCTTCGGCACAGCCTTGGTGAGCCGAAGAACTTCTTCTGTGCTGCATGACTCTGTTCATAAGAGTTGATGAAAGATGATTTGTGTAACTTCAAGATTTTTACACTGCACAATTTCTTTTACATTAAACAGGATTAGAATTATATGAAAGTCAATTTATGTCTAATGTATTTTAAAACTTTAGACACTGTTTGAGAGTGGGCATAACAAATAAGCATACAATAAAGTGTCATCTCATCACAGCAAGTTACCATTAGGTATGGCATTGTCATACAATTACGGAATGACTTAGCACCATGCTGTTCAGTTGTACAAAACAAAATTGCTCTCCATGTCCAGGTGACTGAACAAATGAAGCATACAAATGTTAACACGTGGTACATTGCAGCTTGCTAATTTCAAACAAAACTCAAGGAACAATTACTCAAAAACAAAATCAGTACCTCTTGAAGGTGTGCTGATCCTACTGGGGGGATTATTTGCCCCAGGTTGTTCAGCTCCCAACCGTTGGTCTTGCTCCTGTTGTAAATTTCGGATTATGCCATCCAGCACACTCGCATCCATGTTTTGCTCATCTTGATCATTTGTTTGCTGCCCAATTACTTGTTCCACAACATTACCATCACCTATTAACAGACCAACATTAAGAAGATATTTAAACCAATAGTTTTTCAGAAGGCTGAGACATCACCGGGAAGGGGAAAACGTTGATGGTAGCTATCAGAAAGGGACGTTAGGGTTGGAGATCATCCAAGACATCCTAAGAGGAGGCATAAACCATATTATCCTTAATATGAGATAGTAAGAACTGCTGATGCTGGAGTTAGAGATAACACAGTGTGGAGCTGGAGGAACACAGCAGGCCAGGCAGCATCAGAGGAGCAGGAAAGTTGACGTTTCAGGTTGGGACCCTTCTTCAGAAATTCTTCAGCTTTCCTGCTCCTCTGATGCTGCCTGGCTTGCTGTGTTCTTCCGTCTCCACAATATGTTATCTCTTAATCCTTAATATGAGCTGTACATTGATTACTTGATCTATCATTTCTCCACTTTGTCACCCTAACCCATTTAACCCTTAGCTTGCTTCATATTCAAAAATCAATCCCAGTCTTGAACACAGCAAACAGGTTAGAGAATTTTCAATATTCACAAATGTTGAGTGAATAAATTTTTCACTTTAATGTGAAATGAGAAGTGAGAACTAACTAAACGATGGTATGCAGAGTAATTTAGCTTAGCATGCATCACATACCAGCAGGGCAGTACAGCAGGCAGTAGGAAGGCAAATAATGCTTCAAGTAACAGGGAGGGAGCGAGAGGGAGGGGGAGAGAACAAACGAGAGAGGGGAGGCATGTGCAAACAAGCAGGGGGGTGCGTGCAAACGAGTGGGAGAAGGGGAGCGCACGAGGGCGCCGGGCAGGGGAGCACACGAGGGCACAAGGGGAAGGGACCGAGAATGCAAGCGAGCAAGAGGGAGGCAACTGGACTGCGTGACAGAGTGGGAGCGAGAGCGCAAATGCAAGGTATGAACAGTGGTGTAAAGAGAGCTGTAATAATGGATGAAAGGAAATGTAGATTAGTAATGGCAGACACTTAAGTCTATTTGAATTTTCAGAAAGCGTCCAACAAGGTTCCTCATAAAAGATTCTTGCACAAGATCATACAGCATGGAGGGTAATATATTAGCATGGATTGTGGATTGGTTAACACACGGACAGTAGGATCTTTTGCAAGATCGAAAGGCATAACTAGTGGAGCGCACAAGGATCAGCCCTAGGGCCTCATTTATTTACTATCTATATCAATGACTTGGACAAGGGACAGAGTGCTGATGATCTAATAGCCGGAGGGCATATTGTGATGACATTGGTTAGAATCATAGAAACCCTACAGTGTGGAAGCAAGCCATTCAACCCATCAAGTCCACACTGACCCTCCAAAGAGCATCCCACCCAGACCACACCCCGTATTCAGTCCCTGTCATCCCGCATTCCCCATGGCTAATCCACCTAGCCTGCATATCTCTGGAAACTGTATAATTTAGCATGGCCAATCCACCTAACCTGCACATCTTTGAACTGTGGGAGGAAACCCATGCAGACACGGGGAGACTGTGCAAACTCCACAGAGATAGTAGGAACTGCAGATGCTGGAGAATCCGAGACAACAAGGTGCAGGGCTGGATGAACACAGCAGGCCAAGCAGCATCATAGGAGCAGAGAGGCTCCACAGAGACAGTTCCCTGAGGTTAGAGTCAAACCCAGAGCCCTGGAGCTGTGAGGCAGCAGTGCTAACCACTAAGCCATCATGCCGCTTAGGTTGAATGAGTGGGAAAGATAAAAATAATTATACTGTAGTAACTCAGGAAGACTGACTGGAAAGGGTCATCATTTAGTGTTGAAGACTAAAACGGAATCCACATCCACCAAGAAGGGTGGTGGCATGAGATGGGGAGCCTGTTGAGTTTGCTCATCCAAGACAAATTTGTTCCCATCACGAACTAAGGGATGATAGTCAGTATGGAAAAATTTCTGTTTTTGTTTCTTATTTCCAGTATCGTGGGTTCTTTTTTTAATAAACATATAGCACGCTGGTGAAGCACGTCATAAGAAAAGGAAAATGGAAAATTTTGCTTGGGTGATTGGATATTAGTTTAATATTTGCAAAGTCTTGTTACAACTGTACAGGGTGTTGGGTGAGACCACACCTGCTGTATTTAAAAGGATACCATTTACTATAGTGGCGTTTAAGAGACTTTTAGATAAGCACGTGAATATGCAAGAAATGGAGGGACATGGACGAAGGGCATGCAGAAGGGATTAGTTAAATTTGGCGTCATGTTGGGCGCAACATCATGGGTCGAAGAGCCCATTCCTGTACTGTACTGTTCTACGTTCTGTGATACACTGGTATTGGAGGCTGTACAAAAGAAATTTACTATAATGATTCTTGGGATAAAGGCACCGACTTATCAGTAATGGCTAAACAGGTTAGGCATTTATTCATTCGAGTTTCTAAGAATAAGGATAATCTTTTTGAAATATACAAAATTCTGAGGGGGGTTGACAGGATAGTTGCGGAGGTGCTTCTACTCATTGGACAATCTCAAACAGGGGGATATAATTACAGAATAAGACGACTCTCATATAAAACAAAGATGCGAAGGTATTTTGTCTTCCAAATGGTAGGGTCATGGAGGCTAGATCACAAAGTATTTAAAAAAGGAGGTAAATAGATTTTAGAAATATCAAGGAGTTGACAACTATACTAAGCTGGGGCAAAAGAGGAGTTGATGCCTGGGGCAAACCAGCCATGATCTTGCTGAATAGCAAGATAAACTTGACTCAAATGACCTACTCCTGTATTTCTTATATTTAACATATATGCAGGCTTTGAAATGCACTTGCAACCTGTGTAAATGACTGGTCCAAGTTTCTAGTCAAGTGTTCCCTAGCAATACTGATGGTTGGCATTCATCAATAATAATTCTGTTGAGTATCAAGGAGAAGTCATTAGATTCTCTCTTGGTGAGCATGGTAACTTCGCGGCACAGATCTTACTTGTCACTTACCAGGTGCCAGTGCAGTCTTGTTGAAACTGGACTTGGACACAGACAGTTTCAGTGTCTGAACAGTCACATAGTACTGAGCATCGCAATTACCAAACATTCCTGCTTCAGACCTTGTGCAAGAAAGATCATTGATGAAGCAGTTGAACATGGTTGAGCCTAAGACCCTTCACAGAAACCTTAGGTTTGAAATGATCACCAGTATCAGTCAGTATTACTGTTTCTTGATACCACATGGTACGAACTGTATCTGCTGAAATCCAGCATCTGTGATGACACGGACCTTACGTGATGGTTGAAATGGATCAGTCAACATTTCTGCCATCTTCTGCATTGAGGCTGGGAATGACCATGGAGTTTCCGTCTCCTCCCATGAGTTGTTTAATTGTCCACTTCCTTTCAGGTGGTAGATGTAGCAAGGCTACAGAATTTTCATTCTGACCTGCTAGCTGTGAGATCATTTAGGTCTGTCGCATGCAAATTCCAAGGTTTAGAATGTTCAGAATTCAGAAATTCCAATGTTCAGAAACCTGATATATCACTTCACTGAGTTGGCATTCTATTTTAGTTATACCTGGTGTTGCTCCTATTATGCTACACTGCATTCCTCATTGAATTGATATCATTTCAACTTAGGATAATGAGGGTCTTGGAGGGGTGTTCCAGTGGTATTCCCATGCATCTGTTACATTTATTGTTCCAACTTACAAGTCACTGGTTTTAATAATGCTTGTCGTAAAATCTAACAAAGCCGCTGCAATGAATCCTGTAGGTGGAACATAGCACAACCACCATTTTCTGGTCTTAATCATTCAGTTTTTAGAAGCAATACTGAAACACCATTTTCAAAGACCTTTCTAAGACCTGGGACCAAACTAAGCCACTTACTTGTTGCCACATATCCAAGTTGTGGTATCAGCTGCTCATCTAGACATTTCTCACGACCTGGCACCAATCGCTGGTATTCTGTTCGATGAGGATTTCCGTCCACATCCACCAAGAAGGGTGGTGGCATGAGATGGGGAGCCTGTTGAGTTTGCTCATCCAAGACAAAATTGTTCCCATCACGAATTAGGGGACGATAGTCAGTATGGAAAAACATTTGTTCTGGAATCTGCAAGCAAAGAATGTTTTTACTTTTTGAAGAAGGGCCACTGGACTCTAAATGTTAACTTTGCCTCTCTCCACAAATGCTGCCAGACCTGAGTTTCTGCAGCAATTTGTTTTTATTTCATATTTTTACATGATTGTTCCTGTACAGAGCAAGATCTCTACTATTCAAGTCAAATAGATGATGCTTAGGCAAACAAAACACTTGGTAAGTACTACAAATATATTTTCATTTTTCAATTTTTTTTCCAATTGGTTTTTATTTTAATTATCCAGTTTTGCATTTGATGATCTTTTTAGTTTGAACATAAGTAAGAGTACTTAAATATATGGTAATTCCCAATTATGTTGGAACAAAATGCTATCCAAGCCAAATTACTTGCATCAGTCAGCATTCATCATTCTTGCTACAAGTTATTGATAGCCATTTTCACGTAACTACAAAACCGTGATTGTCAAAGTTTTATCTGCCCTCTCGAGAGCAACAACTCATCAAGAAATATAATCCAGTAAACATATCATCTAAGAGGCCATTCTTGATTTGTAGAAAATTTCAACTACCTCAAAACTGTGCCACCTAAACCCCAGGATTCCTTTTGTTCAGCAATCCTTTATGCGGCACTGTCACCTTAAAATACAAATCCTTGCTTATAAATCCCTCCACAGCTAATGCCAACATCTTAACTATTAACTCTAGATTCCTGTGCAGTTCGTTCTGACATTTTTGATTTGATATCAGAGCTTTCATCTATTTTGGCCCCAGTATGCTTAAGTCTTTTTATTTTAACTTGTTTCCTTACATTTAAAAAACTACAAGACCTACCTTTTAGCCTTTCTTCATCAAAGTCTTTTAAAGCCTCTGATACGTGTACAGTTAGCTCCTTTATGAGGCACTCTGTTACATTTTATGTTTAAAATATTGTACCAGCGTAAGTCGTTATTACAGACACGCAAGTATAAAATTCGAGCGGAGTATCACAAGCAAGACTCATCTTGGTCTTACCTGAAATCAACGTACATGCATCTTCCAAATATGCTTTACAGACAGCATTCAAAAACAAGAATAACAATTTCTTCCTTTGCTAATTGTGAAATTGCTAAGAACTATTATCCAAACAGCACCTATTATGTTGCTTTTATATTAAATAAAGAAACATTACTTGGCTTGCTTCATCTGATAAACAGAGCAAATGCAGATTTTGCCAATTAAAATTAAAGAAATTGAAAGATTAAAACACAAAGCAACTCAAATGATTACCTTTTCATACAGTTTACTGCATCCAAACCCAAATATAAGCAGATGCCCATGTGAATCTGTGCAAGCAAAGTGTTGGCCATCTGGTGAAAATTTGCAATCAAATACAGCACCATGACCTTGGCCTTCAATCTGAGGAGGAATCATAACACAGGTAATTTAAACCTACATTAATGCATTTTAAAATTTGAAAAAAAAAACAAGAATTAATAAGTTAGACATAGAGTAGTCATTTTATAGTAAGAATGGAATATAAAAGTAGGAAGTTTTACTGCAGTTGCACCAGGTCTTAGTGGGAAGAAATCTGACAGTATTCCAGAATTTTGATCTCCTTGTTTGAAAGGCATACAATTGTGGTAGAGAAGATTCACTCAATCCATTCTGAGAATGAACAGCTTACCTTATGAAGAAAAGTTAAATAGGTTGGGCTATACCAGTAGGGCTTAGTGCTGATCTTATTGAATTGATAGGGTGAAAACCAAATGGATGTTTCCTATTGTTAGGAACACTAGAACAGAGGGACACTGTTTAGGAATAAAAGAACTCCCTTTAAGACAGAGTTGATGAAAAGAATTTTCTCTGGGTCACCATGGAGCCAGGGTCACTGAATTTACAGAAAGCAGGGTTAGTTAGATTTTCCACAGACAAGGGAGTCTAGAGTGATAGAAGCAGATAGTAAAATGAAGTTGAGGCCACAAAGAGATCAGACATGACCTTATTGAATAGGAAAGCTATTACAACAACCTACTCTTCATTTCATTTCCTATGTCCCTATTATCACGCAAGATCGTACTTCGTAAAAATAATAATCTCACTTAGACAAATAAATTCGAGTTCTTCCAAACTGAAGATAAATGCTGAATCCCTCCCGCATCCTGCTTAGTACACTTACCATGTTAAAGTAATGGTGAGATTTCATGCCTTTAGTAATGTCCCAAATGAAGATATTGCCATCATGGCCAGCAGACAAAATAATTCTGGAGTCAAATGGATGTGGCTCCAAAACAAACACTTCATCTTCGTGACCCTAAAAAATGGAACAGAAGTTTATCAGAATACCATTTAAAATTAAATCATTTATTACTACAACTTTTGACCATCTTAATGTTTCACAAAGTTCTTGTGACACATCTTAGCTCAATTAAACTAGTTTCTCTTCCTCTACAATCCAGACACGCAACTGTTACAATAATTTTACAGTCCTGACACAAGCAATATTGTTTTGCTGCACTTGAGCCATTTGCAGTTGTTGAATAAACTACATGGGTGCCTACCATACATATGTTGATAGTTTCTGGCTTAACCATACTGAATGCTCAATAGCTGATTTCTTCAGTAGAAAAACCCATGATATTCAGATATTCATTTTTGTGAATATTTGAGTGTGCTAAGTGTAGTTCAGTAAGTCTGATTTAGAATCCATTCTAACTACTAAACTATGTCATGCACAACTGTAACAGCATATCACCATTTTATAGTCGATCAACATAAATAGAGCAAAATGATAGAAATTAAAGGGTGTTCAAACACAGATGTAATGCAGAAATTAAAAACATGAGTATTCATAGAAGTCCTGCTGCTTGATTTGTTGAAATAATAAAATGGGGAAGAGTGGGACTGGTGGTCTGGGGTGGCCCTGCTCTTCTAAAGATACCACAGAAATGTAAAAGCAGTGTTTTAAACATAGGTAGCAGCTATTGGATTCTCTGAAGTTTTTAAAATATCTCAAGCAACCGTGCCTCAAGTGTTTACGCCCAGATTAGATATCTGAATCATCTTTCCTAATCTTAGTGGAGATATTTTATGTAATTTATTAAATAGATGGGCAAATAAATAGGAAGTGCAGATTCATAATGGGATTAAAAGGAGAGATTTTATGGGAGAGAAGACATCATATTTTTAAAATTATAGATTCCATTATGTACATTTTCTGAGTTAACTGCAAAATGAGTCTTATTCTGAAGATGCTGACTGCTGCTGCTGAACTTAACCATAGTAAATGCAAGTCATTTTTTTAAAACATTTGGGCCATTTCCAGTTTCATCCTGTGTGTTTTAGAACTTTCTTCAATTCAAACAAGAAAAGGAAAACTTGCATTTATATAGCATTTTTCAAAGCCTCAGGACACAAAGTGCATCACAGCCAATAAAGTACAATCATTGTTGTAAAGCAAGTAAATTGGCAGGAAATTCACACACAGCATGCTCCCAGAAATAGCAATGAGACAAATATCAGATAATGCAGCCAAATTTAAAAGCCCCTTAAAATAAGCATTGGGATCACTATGCAATATTAACATGCCGTCACCAACTCTGATTTAAGCAGCAAGCCAATTTTGTACAGTGTGTGAATTTTCCTACAACAGCCAGCATAAAATGCATTAGCAAGAAGCTATGTGCCTCTGCTGAGGGACGTAATTTGGTTGGTCAGCACCAATTAAAACCACCCTTCAACACATTTTCTTCATCCTTTCACAGGATAAAAGTGTCACTGTTGCCCATTCTCAACATTATTCTCCAGAAGGTAATGGTGAGCCAACTTCTTAGACCATTGCAGTCCATCTGGTGCACTTCCATCAACAGTGCTGTTATAAAAATGTTTTAGATTTTCACATAGGAATAATCAACGAGTTGCAATTTAGTACCAAATCAGAATAATGTGTGGCTCGGAGGGGTATCTGTAGATGACGTTCCCAAATGTGTGGTACACTTTCCCTTTCAGCTAGCAGGAGTCAAAGGATTGGAAGATGCTGTAAAAGGCGGCTTGATGGTTTGCTGTAGTGGATCTTGCTGATGATGCACACCGACACCTCTGTGCCTTGGTGGTGAAGGAAGTGGATATTTAAGGTGGTTGATTGGATGATGAAAAGGAGCATTGCCCTGGATGGTGCCAGCCTTGTTGAATGCAGTCAAGTGGACAGTATTTAACAAAACACCTGACTTGTAGCATGTAGATCTTGGACACACTTTTTTGGAAGGTGACAGCGGTGGGGGCGGGGGCTGCTGAGTTACTCAGCACAGAAAACTCGGCTTAGAACATAGAACAGTACAGCACAGTACAGGCCCTTCGGCCCACGATGTTGTGCCAAACTTCTGACCTGCTCTTGCACAGCATTTATATTGTTGAACTAATTCAGTTAATGGCAATCCCATGATGGTGGGGAATCGATGAATCTGCCATGGAGAGTCATGCGGAGATATCGAATCCTCACTTGTTGGAAATGGCCGGCACCTGGAACTTGTGTGGCACCAATGTTACTCTCCGCTGTGAGCGCAACCCTGTTTGCTGTCCAGAACTTGCTGCACACAGACAATGACTGCTTCAATCTCTGGAATCCTCATGATAATGAACACAGTCAAATTATCAAAATCTGTACTTTTGACCTTATGAAGAAGGTTATGTCAGCGATGAAACTTTTGAAGATGGTTGGTCATAGGATCCCAACAACCCCAACGCAGCCAAGATAACTGGCCTCCAACAATAATAATTAACTTCCTTTGCACCAGATACTACTCCAACATCTGGTGAGTTTTCCAAAATTCCTAATGACTTCAATTTTGTGGGAACCACGCTCTATCAAATGCTGGATAATGTCATAGGTAGTCACTTTCACTTTCTGATTCAATTGTATTGTCCATGTTCACACCAAGACTGTAATGAAGCAAAAAGCCACGCAGGAAGAGCATGACCAAATAATTGTATAATAGGTTATTGCTATGTAAGTGCCACAAGTGTCGATGCATTTTCCATTGCTTCACTGATGATTGATAGGATGGTAACTGGCTGGTTTCAATTTATTCTGCTTTTTGTGAACAGAGCAACCGCAAGCAAATTTCCATTTTGAGGGGTAGATGGCAGTGCAATTAGCTTAGCTATGAGTGGGACAACTTCTGGAGCACAAGTCTTCAACACTTGTGCTAGAATGTTCAAAAACTGAGATGCTGTCATGTTCCACAGCCTTTTCTGGGTTCACGGCCATAGGTCACTTCTCAATATCACACAGAATGAATCAAGACTGCATCTGTCACGTTGAGGATCTCAGGAGGTGGCTGAGATTGATCACACACTGAACCTTGGATTATTTTGGCTAGAGCAGATGCTGCAAGTGTTATTGGAAGAGCAATGGGAGCCAATTACTGTGCAATAAGAGAAATCAAGTCCCAAGATTTTTTGGTACACGATGAGATGACTTTGTGCAGGTGTCAGAGGAGATGAGAAGTCTTTATCCACATGGGTCCAGGAGACCCTTCAGACAAAGCATGCGAAGGCAGTGGTAACAGATTGACACTGTAGTCAATGCCAGCCACCACGAGTTGGAACGACAACCAACACAAAATCAAAGTGCATCCTCAAATTTCATATCCCATTTACTGCAACAATAGACACTCAATGCATCACAAACCTACAGTCCATGAATGATGATTTCTACTTAAATTTTACAGCTGTGACTCCTCCAAAATCAAAATAATTCCTCATCCATCAGTCTAAGGGCTCTTTCTGACACATTCACTTGGGCTATTTTTGGAGGTTATTTTTCCATTTGCAGGGGCTCCTTTTTCATCCTCATTAACTTCTTTATTAGATAACCTCGTCATGGAATGACATTATCTTTATGTGTGTTTGTGTTGAATTTTCTTTAGGTTTTTCTTTTTGGCAAAGACAAAGACAACACAAACACTAAAGACTATACATGTATTATTATTACTTTAAACTTGGCATCTATAAATGTTTCCAAAATGCAATCAAGAAAAAAAGTCTAAAACTGACATTTATATTAAATAATTATAATTTAGAAGAGTATGAACGAGGACAGGAATTTCCAATTGAAAATCTGACAAGTAATCTTGAATTGAAGGGCTCCCAAGCATTTCAGGTAAATATCAGTTAAACATTATTTGGCTTCACATAGCCACATACCCATTGTCAGCCTCTCTCAAAAACTCACACAAATAGGCCCTTCTTCCAAACTCCACTTCCCCAATCTCAGAATCTACTGCTGCTCCCTTCAGTTCCCTTCTGTAATCAAAAAACTAATTTCTTTACTGAAGAAAAAAACATACTTGCCGTACAGGGAGTGCAGCGAGAGCTCACCAGACTGAATTCTGGGCTGGCAGTTTTGTCGGACAAGAGAAGACTGGGTCAACAACAGAAACAAAAACAGAAATTACTGGAAAAGCTCAGCAGGTCTGGCAGCATCTGTGCAGGGAAATCAGAGTTAACGTTTCAGGTCCAGTCCAGTTCTGAGGCAAGGTCACCAGACCCGAAACATGAACTCTGATTCTCTTCACATCCATTGTTCTTTTTGGGTTTTAACAGATTAGGTCAACTGGGTCTGTATTCGCTGGAAGTTTATATGATTTTTGGATGGGGAGGGGAGTCCTCATTTAAGTGTATAAAATTCTGACAATGCCAGACAGACTGGCTACAGTGATTTCATCTAGCTTCGAAATTTGGAAAAAAGGGTTAAGTCTCTTGATATACAGTAGGCCATTTTGACCTTTGATGGGGAGAACCTTCTGCACTCAAAAGGGTCATGAATCTGTGGAATTTGCTTTCACAGAAGGCTGTTAAGGCAGGATCACTGAGTATATTCAAGAAAGAGAATGATGAACTTTTAGACATTAAAGGCAGTGTGGGACAGAAAGTAAGCATATAATCTTGAGGTAAAGGATGAGCCATGATCATATAAAATGGTGGAGAAAGATGGAAGGGTTGAATTGCCTATTCCTATTTTTACGTTTCTATATTCCCAGAAACTTATAGTGTGAATGGGTATGGAAAGAGAGTGGAAGTATAGCTTTGAGAGGCGTAGACAAGCTCATGTTGAATAGTGCAGTGGATGCGACGAGCTGAATGGACCACTCCTACTCCTATTCACAAATACCTAGACGCCTCTATTGTATTGATTCCCAAACAGCACCACTTTTCAGTTCCAGTAACATTGAGTTAATTATCCACTTACCCACTGGCTGAGACTTAGTTCTAGCAACCTCAACCCCTGGCCAAGACTCAGGAATTGACACTAAG